CCCGGAGCGGTGAACATGTTAATTCTGTTAATGGTGTTAGTATTAAGATCACCAACAACAAGCTGAAAGATCCCTTCCATTCCATGCTCAGTCATCATACTTTCAAAGGCGATAAGAGAGGCTAACACATGGGACCCAGAGGCATTGGACTCAGTCAAAGTAGAGAAGAGGAGACTGGGGGAATCCTTCAGTCCTTTCTTGCATGCCAATTCAATTGGCTGGAGTGTGGTGTGATGTTTTAGATGGTCGTCTCCATGGAAACCCCTGAGGCATAGGGTGCTTTGAGGTTCCTTTCCCAGTCCATCTGAGCCAGATCCTGTACAGGCTCCAGTGTGGTTGATACCTCCAAGCCGAGGGACTTCTGTAAGCTTGGTCTTTTCCTTGGATTTCCCAATGTGTTGGAGGAGCTCCTGGAATTGAGCTGTGGTCAAGGGTGCTGTAGTCATGGTTGGAGGATCAGATGGTGGGATGACTGGATCAGATTCAAAGAAGGCTTGTCTGAATCCCTGTGGACTGAACAAGGATGGCGCTGGTACTGTTGAAGGAGTTGATGATGAAGAGGATGCTGAAGATAAGGAAGCGTCGTCAAGGTCCATTAATAACTAATGAAAAGGAGGCAGTGAAAATCAACAAGGTCAACAGAGGAACGGCAACAAGAGCGCGGTGGATAGTAGAATTTCGGTGGATATCCAGTCAATCGAGTCAATCGAAGTTGGAATTTATGAGTGGTTGGATCCGACGTCGAGGTTGAGGCCCACCTCGAATTGTTTGGCGAATTCAAATTCAAATTTAGCAGCGACAGCGCGTTGTTATCTTTCAAACGACCAACTGCAAGCCAGTTCAAACGACCGACTGCAACAGCAAGCCAGCAACCGGAGGAACGGCCAATGCCACTCGAACACCAACACGAGCGGGTTGTTGTCGAGCGACGTGTTGTTGTTGTTGTTGTTGTTCTCGAGTACGTCGAGTTAATGAAAAAGTGAGGAACTAAAGCATGACTCAAAAGACTTAAGCTCAGGAAATTCGAACAGATAATAGAGGGTAAAGTGGCTCCGGAAGCATGACTCAATGCATGACACACAAGCCGAGTCGTCAATAATTCGGAGCTCTTTTTTCGACAAATTCTGTTAACTCGCGATCGGCCGATGCTCAAGCTGAGCATGCGATCGCAATGAGGCAAGGCTGTGAGGTAATGCAAGGCTCTACCGGCGATAGTAGCAGTAGTAGTAACAGTAGCAGTAGTAGCAGTAGAACGTGCAGTATCAGTAGTGGCTGAGATAACAAGAGGATTGCTTTCGAGCGAATCCAAGATAAAGGGATCCTCATTGCGATTTCGATCGACAACAGGATAAAGAACAAGGGGAACAAGTGGATTGCTTACGAGCGAATCAACAAAAAGGGGATTGCTTGCGAGCGAATCCAAGGTATCGACAAGGGGATCATATGGATCCAATCGACAGATTAAGTTGCAATAAGGGGAAGGACTACCGATGAAGATATTGAGAGGAAACTCAGGACTCTGCACCAAGGGATAGCTCATTCCATTGACAACCACAAGGGATAGACATATAAGAATAAGAATGAGTAACATCTCATAACCTCGCATGCTACCATGCGACAATACCATTGTGGATTGATTAATCTAACGATCTAAGAGATGTAAAGTTTGTATTTCCAAATAAGTGAGCAGTTATTGATTATTTTCTAGAATAGGCCTGCAATTTATAAAGCTGTAAAGCTGAATTGTAAGCTGTATCCCGTCGCACTGGTTCTAAATCTTCAGTCACAGCTTGGACTAAACTTGTCTTGAAATTTGTCGGAAGTTCTTCAGGTAGGGGAAAACACCGTCTCAGCTGGGCAGTATATTCTCTTTTGTGCAAAGGATTCAAAAGATCATTCTCTTTCAATCCATGGGGTCGTCGGCAAGTTCTATTGCTAACGAGGCTTTTTCTCCCACGACTCAGAAGACCAGTGACTCACCCCAGTCGGAGGTCAAGGGATAGAGTTCATGAATACCGGAAGAGCGCGCATAGTAGTCTGCGCAGCGTATTCCACACTGTGGTCCACGATGGATGCACCGTGGTCCCATTTAGCACTCATGTCTCGATCCTACCCGAGTCGAATAGGCGCCATGTTTGAACCAAAAGCCGATGCCGGCTTGCGCCATTCCGTTTCTATCAGTCCGAACCTTGACAACGAAACCCAATAGACTTGATAGATCGTAATGCTCATAATATTCTCATTTACTGTTTGCCATTGCACGTCTTCCAAAGGTCTAGTCGAAGCTAACCACGCTACGACGCCAACCCAAGGAAGGGAGATTATCACTTACGAAATAGGATTTCAGCAGATTAACAGTCGCAGTTACATCCCTAAGCAACTGCACAACCATGTCCGCCGCTGCCCCCCGAACCGCTGATCGCGACAAGCTCAAGCATGTCGTAACCATCATGCTCAACAATGACGAAACCAACTGGGAAACTCACGAAGTCATGCTTGCCCTCACTCACTTTGGAGTCGATACTTTCTCGGACCTCATGATGATGGAGCGCAAAGACATTGAGTCTCTTGTGGTTCCAGTCACTGGAACCGTTGCCGAACACCCTCTTGGATTCAGTCAACGGCGACAACTCCTTGCTGCGATTTGCTGCTTTCATCACTTCTGTCGAGAGCAAACCAAATCCATCAACGTCACGTCAATCAGTTTCGCTAACTTCCAACAATTCCGCATCGGACGATGGGATCCATCAGCAGAAGTGGTCCCGTGGCTCACGACACGAGCTCCTGTATCCGCCGAAGCAGAGATTGAACACTGGAACAAGACGGTCAAGATCTCTCGCAGCGACTACAAGGAGTTCCGTGACGAAGCGTACTGGCACAAGTGGAGCGAAGATTTCCTACTCACTGTAAAGTCTCACCGTTTGTCTCACCTACTCGAATGCACGAAAAAGGATACACGCCGGAGAACCCGTCGCTCGATCGCATCCAACGCGAATGGATGTACAAGACACTCTGTGACACGATCAAGACTGCAGCTGGAAAATCATTCCTCACGCAACACCTCAATGACAGCGAAACTCGTCTATTCTGGGAAAAGATGTCCAATCACTACAAGACATCAATGACGGCGACCATTCGTTCCTCCTCGACATATCTGACTACTGCCAATTTATCAGACGGATCGTGGCGTGGAAGTCAACAGAACTTCATTCTGAACTTCAAGGAACAAGGTCGAATCTACAATGGCACCTCTGTGCATGACAAGTACTCCGATGGGCAACTCGTACAGTTCCTTGAGCAAGCTGTCTCTGGCGTCCCAAACCTATCCGGTGCACGACGCGTGGATATGCTTGCACGTGCCGCAGCCAAGAATGTGGACACATACACTTTTGAGGATTACACTGCAAGCCTACTCTCACTTGCAGCTATCTACGACGCAGCTCACTCTGGTACATCACGATCCAGAGGAAACTCACGACGAAGCTCATATAATCATGAGCTCATCTTCGAACAAGACGATGAGAACCACGGATACGAATCTCATGTACACGACTTTGACACGACCATCGATGAACTACTCGAGGTCCATCAATCAGACCGTTCTCACAACTCTCCATTTGATCGTCCTTTCCAAGGCCCTCGCAAAGTCATGATGAACGTGGCAACGTGGAAGTCTCTCACGCCTACTGACCAGAAAGCGTGGGATACACTATCCGATGATGGCAAGAAAAAAATCTTGGAATACGCAGCTGATCGTGCGAAACGAAACACACAAACGAATCAATCTGGCCCACACAATTTTGGATTCCGACGCGACACACGCTCAGCCAACGTCCATGACGTCATCGAGGAGTCACGGATCTTTGAACCCGATCATGAAGCCAGCCCTACACATTTCGTCTCACACCTTGGATGAGAAGAAGAACAAAGTATCTTCGGACACGGATCTTTTGCATCTTGCTACACATGTTGTCCAAGACTCAACTACGGTACCCGACCTTCTGTCAGGCAACATTGCCAATGTTCTATCTCAACCTTCGTCTTGCAACGTTTCCTTTAGCAATGAAGTACGATACCATGAACTTGATGAAATTGACTGATCGGCATACCAATCATACTCTCATAAGATGCATGCCGACGACATTGATGACGGATTCAAAACTGATAGTGAAGACGATGCTGCATCACAGCTATCCCTGAAGCTTGACACCGATTACTGGGATGAGTCCATTCCATTTGATCCCAACGCATTCGGATCCCCGACCTTGGCTCAGTTCGACCTGATGTCGCCCCAGTACCAAGGTACCCGGAGTGTACCTCCAACACCACAGACAGCTTCCGTGAACCCCCAGCTAGGACTACGACTACCGAACCCTCACCTGCTGGCACTGATGCCATCCGTACTCACTGAACCCTCCATTTCACCAAGTACAAGTCCCTGTTCCCATGAAGCAGCGACTCTCGGCACAACTCGACACCGCCGCGGATGCGACTACCATCCTCAGTGATCCCGACGCATATCCCTCCGGTAATGAACAGCACTTCTCAACTGATGATGAACGTTCCTTGGAGCCCACGATACCTTCAAACCTGAAGTCTCCACCTTCTGTACAGCCGTCTGCCGACAATGACGACGGACCCGACATCGAGGAATTTCTCAGCGACCACGAATACGACAACGAATACATCGCGAGCGATGTCCCCGCTCTGACATCCCGCGCGTCTCGCCTCTATTCTGCCACGGACGATGAAGACGATGCCTTTGATGCTGCGATTCGCAGCAACCGTACTATCCTCCAAGAAGCACTGGCTGAACAGGCAGCATTGAACCTCCACGCGAAACCTGTCAATACTACTGATTCAGTTCATGACATTTCTCCAGACAAGCCTGCTGTGAAATCTCCGCTCGAAGTCCAGAAATTGACGATTGCCTCGGTCAACTCTTTTGAGACCACGGTGGTTGCCTCGGTCAACTCTTTTGAGACCACGGCTGACATATCTCCTGTCGAGCTATCCAGTTCTCCTCCCGCGACTCCCAAGATTGCGAATATGCAACCGGATGCCGCTGATGACGACTTCATCCTCGACTACATGATCCCCACCACTAGTACCACGCCTTCACTTGTTACTCGTGCCATGCCCGGATCATCCATGACACAACGCAAACCTTGCCACCGTCCCAATCTCCATGTCGAGTCCGACATCGTTGCCGACGCTTCTGGCGAGATTGCCCAACAGTGGAACAAAGTCGCTTCCACCAAGAAAGGGAAAAAGAAGTCGAAGAAGAAGAAAGCTACCTGCCCTTCTACCAGTAACATCTGTGCCGAACTGTTCTTTCCCACCAATAAGGAATCTGACTCTTCATCCTCTTCTCCCACATCCTCTGAGGGTTCCAACTCCAAACCCTCTCCTACGCAGGATTTTGCATAGGCCGGAACCGTACTCCTTGTACGGCTCTGCAGGCCATCTCACAAAGGGCAAATGAAATATACATCAGGACACATGACCAGGCCACTACGGCAGTGTCTTCCGTTCCTTATGGTCAACCCCGCACCATTTACTGCTACTCCGTGAATACCAACATTGTCCGCAAGAATGATCAAGGTTCGCTCATGGATCGCGGTGCAAATGGTGGCATCCTTGGTTCGGATGCTCGCGTCACCGTTACTCATCAACGGCAAGTTGATGTCACGGGAATTGACAATCACGAGATCAATGGTCTCAAGATTGTTGATGGCGCTGCCAAACTCACCACTCAGAAGGGTCCTGTCATTGGTATCTTTCGCCAGTATGCTTATCATAGAGTCAACCGCACCATCCATTCTGCCGGCCAGTTCGAACACTACCACAACATGGTGGAGGATCGATCCTTCCGTGTTGGAGGCCGCCAGTGCATACGTACCAATGATGGCTACATTCTACCGCTCGACTTCATCAACGGACTGCCGTATCTCCGCATGCACCCACCTACCGACTCGCGCAACTTCCCCATGTCATTCTTACTTCTGGAGCACAATGGAACCCTAAAGTCCTTGACTACCGTCTTTCTGATCACGATGATTGGTACAACCGCATCATGTTGGAATCTGATGACACACCTGTGACTTCCTTTGATTCTACCAGATCTTATCGTCACCGTACCCCTCATCAGGACATCAATCCTGAACACAATACTCCTATTGACGAGGATCCCCTCCGTATCAATCGAACACAATTCCTTCAGTCTTTCCGCATCTCGTCGAACCTCAACCAGGTCTACGCATGCTTCGATGCCGATGTTACCAACACCGATGAGACTACCGTCCCCACCATTGTCATCCCTCCCGTTGAAGTTGCACCCAAACGTATTGATTACTCTCAGTACCTCCCGTTCTTTCTCCATGTACCTGTGTGCTATACACGGCTCTTAGCCTTATTCGCGACTCGATCCTAGATAGGGTTTGAGTTCGACTCATGACTGAGTCTCTCGTGAATAGTCATTTGAGACAGGGTTCTCAATGACCGCGCTAGTCATACTAGGTTGATGATGAAACATCGCTCTAGATATTTAGCCAGCGTGGAGTACTTCCACGCTACTAGATCCAGGCTAGACAAACCTTCCACGCGTTCCGTTTTAGGATCGTGGAGAGACGTAGGATTACTACCGCAACCTACTCTATCACACTTTATAGTCTCCGCGGGAAGCCAGATCTACGATCCCTTGATGATGATCTCTCTCGTTGATTAGTTTTCATAGCTTTCTAATCTCTCTAAACTTTCATTCTCTCAAACTCAAAACACTCGAAAGATCTTTACACTAGCTTTTAGCGTAGTGCATTTTGTTAACAAACACAATAGCTTTCAGCTACCCTCAACCTATTCCTTCACCATGAAGATGGCTCAAGGAAAGCTGCGTTCCGCAACTTCGAGAAACAGTTGCGTGACAACCCATTCTTCCTCTCGTCGACAATGACGAAGAAACGAGATCGACGATACTCGTCAACCACTTGCAAACTTCGCAACATATTGCCAAGCGCAAATCAGAAGACTCTGACAATGAGGACAACTCCTCTATCAATTTCAATCACTTGATGGAGAAAACTCTATCTGAGGATTAGGCCAGATGATGACTCAACGGAACCATGTTCCGATTTCTCATACCAAAGTGATGAAGATATCTCACTAACTAGTAAACAAGAATTGTTTGCAACTGATGAACACTACGGCAAATTAGATGATTGCCTAGAAGCTCTCAACTAGACTCTGATGATCTATTTAGCTCGTTAACCTCGTCCGTGGCCAACCACCCGTAAACGTCGCAAGACAAGAGACCTCAAACCCATCGTCTATGTTAGATTTAACAAGCAAGAAAAAGGGAAACCAAAACCGTTACAATCCGTTGCTTACGGATACAGGAGCATCCGGAACCTTGATTGCTCAAACTCATGCTAAGAAATTACGCATGAAGGATCTTGGGGCGTCCAAACAATGTGGACTACCCTGCAGGAGAGAATTAAACACCAGCACGAAGTGCAAAGGTGCATTCATGATTCCTGAATTCCACGAAGATAGAATTATCGAGTGGGATTTACACCTCACCAAGAGCTTGGGGGCGTATGACATGATCATAGGTGAGACATTCTCTCTGACTTAGGATTCAAGTTCGATTTCACTACCATGTCAGTGGAATGGGACGGCGCATCTATTCCTATGAAAGATAGCGACACCAACGAAGAAGAAAACTTTTCATTCCTGATCCTACCGCTGTTGATGACAGTGCAGATCGTCTCAAGAAGATTCTTGATGCGAAATACGAACAAGCTGACTTAAGGCAGGTTTGCCAAAGTCAAGATCAGTTAAACACGGAAGAGAGGAACAGCTTCATTCCTTACTGACAAGTACTCTGACCTATTCGAGGTACTTTAGGAAAGGGCAGATGGACGACTACGAAGTAGAACTTCTCCCTGATGCTAAACCCTATCATGCCAGGGCTTATCCTATTCCACGGGTCCATACCAACACTCTTAAAATGGAGGTTGAAAGTCTCTGCGAGGCAGGAGTACTCAAGAAGGTAAACCGTTCCGAGTGGGCGGCACCAACCTTCATCATTCCAAGAAAGATGGATCTGTACGATTCATCTCTGATTTCCCGGGAACTGAACAAAAGGATTA